TTTTTTCCGCTCGGGCAACATCATCATGATATATCAAAATCAGCTAATTAATTGCGAACAATATTTCTCAGGTGACGTAAATTCAGCAATAAGTTATTAAATTCAATTTATTCATAGATTAAACATATTTTTCCGGACAGCGAGAAGTAAACTTATATCTAAATTTGTAAACAATATGGTTAAATTCAATACAATCTTCTGTATTTTTACTATTGTCATTTTTGGTACGTTGAAAACTCAGAATGTTTTCAGAGTATTTCTATATTCAAAATTGCAAAATTTAATTTTATATTTAAAAAATAACAACAGAAAAATATTTTTAACAGGGATGATCCTGACGTTGAAGATTGAAGCAACTTTATTCAAAGATAAAGTAAGTAAGCATAAATACAAATTAGATACTAGTTTATACATTTTGTATGTATGAAAATATAACTCATAAATGTGTTTTCTTATAAAATATATTCTGTGAATTTTATGTATATTTGTAAAAATCATTGCATTGAAAATATATGTTAAAGGTATATCAGGAGATGATTCTGGCGTTATTTTTGGACGATGGCGGATAAAACGGCTTACTAAAACACGAAAAAACATCTGTCATTTCTAAATTTCTTTAAGATTATTTATTACATATGTTACAGTATAAAATTTTAAAACTAGTTCTATAGATTGCAAGTGCTGTTCCGTATGAGATAATGTGTAAACGTCTTTGTTTGTTAACACATAAAACGCAGTACAGAACAAAACAACACGTTCGCAATAAAAATACAAGTGCAGATATTGAACTAGAAAGTCGAGAAAATGCTATATGTTCTTTGGCCATATCTGGTTTACGTTATTTAGCCCTGTTGTTTTAAACAATTTTAGTCATGTGCAAATGAGTGTATCATAAAATCGAAACGTGTTTAATACAATGAATGAAAATAAAATTCGTGATTGTTATGATGAATGATAAGTACTACTATTTAATTTAATTCCTAGTGTTTTTATCAAAAAGCGATAACCTGCAACATCAATTTATATTAAAGAATAAAAAAGTAATGACTCATTGATACTCTTCACACATAAAACGAGACCATAAGTCACCAAAAGTTGGACAAGCTTGTTGTATATTACCGAATTTTGTAGGAATTACTGAGAAAATGCATTACACATGTAGGTTATGTAGCGACGTTCTCCTTCTTACGTGTTAGTTATAAAACGTAATAATAGAGAGTGATTCACTCCGGATTGAACACTTACTATGTTCAAAACCTCATGATTGGTACGCATAGTAACACGTAAATAACATGTAATGAAACACATTGCATTGGTCAACTGTATTTTCATGAAATAAAGCTCGTTCCGTCGTGTTTCGTGCCCATATTTTTATTTTATACGGGGATAATTTACATAGCAAATGTTCACTCTCAATTGAATCACCCTACACATTCTATAACTTCTTCTATTGCAAAAAATAATTTCAAAATCGGTTTTCTTTCGATTTTTCAGAAACAGGATCATTTCGCCAACAGAAATATAATTAAAAGAGAGACTGTGGAAGATCTTGAAAGTTGGAAAAAATTACTTCGAATTATCAAAGCTTTGAAACATTTCGAAAACGATTTGTTGAATAGAAACGACCACAAAGAAACAAGACTCGCTGATATTAACGAAGTTATCCAACTGATGGCAGACTTTAGTGGTACGGAAGGGATAACTGTTATTAAACCGAATTTTGCCAGAATGTTTCATTTTAAGTTATGTCCATTCGATCCTACCTTATTAAAACAAATACAATCGATGATTAGAGAATTTGAATATTATTCAGACTTTATAAAGAGAACGAAATTTTACGGTATGGATGCAGAAGATTTAGCTAAAATTGGTCTAGTAAACAAATAAAATGTCCGAAAACTAAACTCATTTTGGATAACTTCGATTATGGATATTGCATTAAAGTTAAATATTTTAATTAAGTAAAAATAATAAAATTTATGGCCGGCGT